TGAGACAGAGTCTCTGACCTCCTGGGTAGAGTGCCGTGGTGTTATAGCTCATAACAACCTCAAACTTTTGGGCTTGAGCAATCCTCTTGTCTCAGCCTCCCAAGTAGCTGGGACTATAGGTGTGCACCACTATGCCCAGTTAGTTTTTCTATTTTTTTAAGTAGAGACTGGGTCTTGCTCTTGCTCTTGCTCAGGCCGGTGTGGAATCCATGAGCTCAAGCAATCCACCTATCTTGGCCTCCCAGAGAGCTAGGATTAGAAGCATGAGCCACCACACCTGGCCTCTTTTATTTATTTATTTATTTGAGACAGAGTCTCACATTGTCACCCTCAGTAGAGTGTTGTGGTCTCACAGTTCACGGCAACCTCAAACTCTTGGGCCCAAGCGATTCTCTTGCCTTAGCCTCCAAGAAGCTGGGACTACAGGCACCAGCCACAACACAGGCTATTTTTTGTTGTAGTTGTCATTGTTGTTCAGCAGGCCCAGGCTGGGCTTGAACCCACCAGCCCTGGTGTATGTGTCTGGCACCCCAACCACTGAGCTACGGGTGCCAAGCCCACACCTAGCCTCATATACCAGGGTATTTTTTTTTTTTTCTGTTTTTGGCTGGGGCCGGGCTTAAACCTGCCACCCCTGGTATATGGGGCCGGCACCCTACTCCTTGAGCCACAGGCACTGCTGCCCATATATACTAGGTTTTTTTTTGCAGTTTCTGGCTGGGGCTGGGTTTGAACCTGCCACCTCCAGCATATGGGGCTGGCACCTTACTCCTTTGAGCCACAGGTGCTGCCCACCAGGTTTTGAAAAATGTTTTCATTTGCCTTAATTTTTATTTTAACAAAGGAATTTGTATACTTTTAAAATCTAACAGTTCTGCTGGGCATGGTGGCTCGTGCCTATAATTCTAGCACTCTGGGAGGCTGAGGTGGGTGGATGACTTGAGCTCAGAAGATCAAGACCATCCTGAGCAAGAGCAAGACTCTGTCTCCACTAAAAATAGAAAAACTAGCTAAGTGTGAGCAGGCAAGCCCCTGTGGCTCAGGATTGCTCAAACCCAAGAGACTGAGGGTGCTGTGAACTGTGACACCATGGGACTGTATCAAGGGTGATACAGTAACACTCTGTCTGAAAAAAAAAATCCAATTAGTTCTACAGGGTTTTAATGAAAAATAACTGTCTCCTGCTAATTTTCTCCTCCCCCTACACATGTACTCTTCCATACAGCTTCTCAAGTTTCTAGGCTGCTTCTTCTGGTACCTACCTCTGTATTTCCAAATAACATGCTCATAATATTATTTTTTTTCCTTTTTATTTTTTATTTTTATTTTTTTTGAGACAGAGCCTCAAGCTGTCCCCCTGGGTAGAGTGCCATGGCATTACAGCTCACAGCAACCTCCAACTCCTGGGCTCAAGCGAGTCTCCT